AAATCGCCAAGTATACAAACATCGCTACAATAACGGTCTTGAACAGAATAACATTACAACATTTTACAGGTATTAAAACACATCATGGTAAACAATGATCATTTGGAAGTGGGTAAAAAACGTATGTGTAAACATCAAAGTGTCAAATTATAAGAATTGAGTGTCACCTTTTGTGTTTGCACTGAAAACTGAATGATGTCAAAGCGTTGTTCAATTGTCTATTACCGGAGAACTCATAGTTGTCTTCCCTATATTAGTGGAGAACTCATAGTTGTCTTCCCAGTCTTACTGGAGAACTCATAGTTGTCTTCCCAATATTACTAGAGAACTCATAGTTGTCTTCCCAATATTACTAGAGAACTAGTTGTCTTCCCAATATTAATGGAGAACTAGTTGTCTTCCCAATATTACTGGAGAACTCATTCTCTTCCCAATATTAATCGAGAACTAGTTGTCCTCCCAATATTAATGGAGAACTAGTTGTCTTCCCAATATTACTAGAGAACTAATTGTCCTCCCAATATTAATGGAGAACTAGTTGTCTTCCCAATATTACTAGAGAACTCATAGTTGTCTTCCCAATATTACTGGAGAACTAGTTGTCCTCCCAATATTATTGGAGAACTAGTTGTCTTCCACATATTAATGGAGAACTAGTTGTCTTCCCAATATTACTGGAGAACTAGTTGTCCTCCCAATATTATTGGAGAACTAATTGTCCTCCCAATATTACTGGAGAACTCATAGTTGTCTTCCCAATATTAATGGAGAACTAGTTGTCTTCCCAATATTACTGGAGAACTAGTTGTCTTCCCAATATTACTGGAGAACTAGTTGTCCTCCCAATATTATTGGAGAACTCATAGTTGTCTTCCCAATATTAATGGAGAACTAGTTGTCTTCCCAATATTAATGGAGAACTAGTTGTCCTCCCAATATTATTGGAGAACTCATAGTTGTCTTCCCAATATTACTGGAGAACTAGTTGTCCTCCCAATATTATTGGAGAACTAGTTGTCTTCCACATATTAATGGAGAACTAGTTGTCTTCCCAATATTACTGGAGAACTAGTTGTCCTCCCAATATTATTGGAGAACTAATTGTCCTCCCAATATTACTGGAGAACTCATAGTTGTCTTCCCAATATTACTGGAGAACTAGTTGTCTTCCCAATATTACTGGAGAACTAGTTGTCTTCCCAATATTACTGGAGAACTAGTTGTCCTCCCAATATTATTGGAGAACTCATAGTTGTCTTCCCAATATTAATGGAGAACTAGTTGTCTTCCCAATATTAATGGAGAACTAGTTGTCTTCCCAATATTATTGGAGAACTCATAGTTGTCTTCCCAGCTTTACTAGAGAACTCATAGTTGTCTTCCCAGTCTTACTGGAGAACTCATAGTTGTCTTCCCAGCTTTACTAGAGAACTCATAGTTGTCTTCCCAATATTACTGGAGAACTAGTTGTCTTCCCAATGTTACCGGAGAACTAGTTGTCCTCCCAATATTAATTGAGAACTAGTTGTCTTCCCAATATTAATTGAGAACTAGTTGTCTTCCCAATATTATTGGAGAACTAGTTGTCTTCCCAATATTACTGGAGAACTCATAGTTGTCTTCCCAATATTAATGGAGAACTCATAGTTGTCTTCCCAAAATTACTAGTGAACTCATAGTTGTCTTCTCCCAATATTACTAGAGAACTAGTTGTCTTCCAACATTAATGGAGAACTAGTTGTCTTCCCAATATTAATGGAGAACTAGTTGTCTTCCCAATATTATTGGAGAACTCATAGTTGTCTTCCCAGCTTTACTAGAGAACTCATAGTTGTCTTCCCAGTCTTACTGGAGAACTCATAGTTGTCTTCCCAGCTTTACTAGAGAACTCATAGTTGTCTTCCCAATATTACTGGAGAACTAGTTGTCTTCCCAATGTCACTGGAGAACTAGTTGTCCTCCCAATATTAATTGAGAACTAGTTGTCTTCCCAATATTACTAGAGAACTAGTTGTCTTCCCAATCTTATTGGAGAACTAGTTGTCTTCCCAATGTTACTGGAGAACTAGTTGTCCTCCCAATATTAATTGAGAACTAGTTGTCTTCCCAATATTAATTGAGAACTAGTTGTCTTCCCAATATTATTGGAGAACTAGTTGTCTTCCCAATATTACTGGAGAACTCATAGTTGTCTTCCCAATATTAATGGAGAACTAGTTGTCTTCCCAATGTCACTGGAGAACTAGTTGTCCTCCCAATATTAATTGAGAACTAGTTGTCTTCCCAATATTACTAGAGAACTAGTTGTCTTCCCAATATTATTGGAGAACTAGTTGTCTTCCCAATGTTACTGGAGAACTAGTTGTCCTCCCAATATTAATTGAGAACTAGTTGTCTTCCCAATATTAATTGAGAACTAGTTGTCTTCCCAATATTATTGGAGAACTAGTTGTCTTCCCAATATTACTGGAGAACTCATAGTTGTCTTCCCAATATTAATGGAGAACTCATAGTTGTCTTCCCAAAATTACTAGTGAACTCATAGTTGTCTTCCCAATATTACTAGAGAACTAGTTGTCTTCCCAATATTAATGGAGAACTAGTTGTCTTCCCAATATTAATGGAGAACTAGTTGTCTTCCCAATATTATTGGAGAACTCATAGTTGTCTTCCCAGCTTTACTAGAGAACTCATAGTTGTCTTCCCAGTCTTACTGGAGAACTCATAGTTGTCTTCCCAGCTTTACTAGAGAACTCATAGTTGTCTTCCCAATATTACTGGAGAACTAGTTGTCTTCCCAATGTTACTGGAGAACTAGTTGTCCTCCCAATATTAATTGAGAACTAGTTGTCTTCCCAATATTACTAGAGAACTAGTTGTCTTCCCAATATTACTAGAGAACTAGTTGTCTTCCCAATATTACTGGAGAACTCATAGTTGTCTTCCCAATATTAATGGAGAACTAGTTGTCCTCCCAATATTAATTGAGAACTAGTTGTCTTCCCAATATTACTAGAGAACTAGTTGTCTTCCCAATATTATTGGAGAACTAGTTGTCTTCCCAATGTTACTGGAGAACTAGTTGTCCTCCCAATATTAATTGAGAACTAGTTGTCTTCCCAATATTAATTGAGAACTAGTTGTCTTCCCAATATTATTGGAGAACTAGTTGTCTTCCCAATATTACTGGAGAACTCATAGTTGTCTTCCCAATATTAATGGAGAACTCATAGTTGTCTTCCCAAAATTACTAGTGAACTCATAGTTGTCTTCCCAATATTACTAGAGAACTAGTTGTCTTCCAATATTAATGGAGAACTAGTTGTCTTCCCAACATTAATGGAGAACTAGTTGTCTTCCCAATATTATTGGAGAACTCATAGTTGTCTTCCCAGCTTTACTAGAGAACTCATAGTTGTCTTCCCAGTCTTACTGGAGAACTCATAGTTGTCTTCCCAGCTTTACTAGAGAACTCATAGTTGTCTTCCCAATATTACTGGAGAACTAGTTGTCTTCCCAATGTTACTGGAGAACTAGTTGTCCTCCCAATATTAATTGAGAACTAGTTGTCTTCCCAATATTACTAGAGAACTAGTTGTCTTCCCAATATTACTAGAGAACTAGTTGTCTTCCCAATATTACTGGAGAACTCATAGTTGTCTTCCCAATATTAATGGAGAACTAGTTGTCTTCCCAATATTACTGGAGAACTCATAGTTGTCTTCCCAGTCTTACTGGAGAACTCATAGTTGTCTTCCCAATATTACTAGGGAACTAGTTGTCTTCCCAGTCTTACTGGAGAACTCATAGTTGTCTTCCCAGTCTTACTGGAGAACTCATAGTTGTCTTCCCAATATTACTAGAGAACTAGTTGTCTTCCCAATATTACTAGAGAACTAGTTGTCTTCCCAATATTACTGGAGAACTCATAGTTGTCTTCCCAATATTAATGGAGAACTAGTTGTCTTCCCAATATTACTAGAGAACTCATAGTTGTCTTCCCAGTCTTACTGGAGAACTCATAGTTGTCTTCCCAATATTACTAGGGAACTAGTTGTCTTCCCAATATTACTGGAGAACTCATAGTTGTCGTCCCAGTCTTACTGGAGAACTAGTTGTCTTCCCAATATTACTGGAGAACTAGTTGTCTTCCCAATATTATTGGAGAACTCATAGTTGTCTTCCCAATATTACTAGAGAACTCATAGTTGTCTTCCCAATATTACTGGAGAACTCATAGTTGTCTTCCAAGTCTTACTGGAGAACTCATAGTTGTTTTCCAAGTCTTACTGGAGAACTCATAGTTGTCTTCCCAATATTACCGGAGAACTCATAGTTGTCTTCCCAATGTTACTAGAGAACTCAGTCTGCCCAATACTACTGGAGAACCCATAATCGTCTTTCCAATGTTTTTTTGACATTACTTGGCAACTGACAATGCTGTTATATTACAGGACACCTGATAATTGTGTTTGCAAGATTAATGGACAAATGATAGTTGTTATCAAAACGTTTAATAATACTGGAGAGATGATAATTATTGTCCAACACAGCAGTGTATAGCCATTTTATATCTGTTGGGGGTGCTCAGTTATTTTGTTGATGGCAGCAGGTGGTGAGGGGGTCATCCATGTTCAGTACAGTCGTTGTTGCATCCAACCTAACAGTAGAATGTTGCCTTGTTGATGCATGTGTGTGTAGCCACATCATTGCCAGATATCTTGTAGCAGGAAGTCATGTAGCACTTCCTGGTGATGGTCTGACACTGATCATCTGACACATTCAAGTACCAGGATTCTATTACCATATGGAATGTTTATTTCAGAATGTACATGTGTGTATCGTTGCAGTACATTCAGAGACAGTTGGAAAAGCTTATCTATCTATGATCCTTTAAACCTCTGTTGTAATATTCTAGTGTCCCCCGCCGTGACTTTGCTGGAATATTGCTAAAAGCGACATGAAACCATACTCACTCGGCTGTAATATCTGTTCTGTAGATATGATTCAACACCCAACCCACCCAGGGACATTTTCATACCAGGCAGTCAGTGAACCAGGTGAGGAAACAGCCTTCTGATCTTAGTGACGTGTTACAGTAAATGAGGTGAGGAAACAGTCTCCTGATCTTAGTGACGTGTTACAGTGATTGAGGTGAGGAAACAGCCTTCTGATGTTAGTGACGTGTTACAGTGATTGAGGTGAGGAAACAGCCTTCTGATCTTAGTGACGTGTTACAGTGATGAGGTAAGGAAACAGTCTTCTGATGTTAGTGACGTGTTACAGTGATTGAGGTGAGGAAACAGCCTTCTGATCTTAGTGACGTGTTACAGTGATGAGGTAAGGAAACAGTCTTCTGATCTTAGTGACGTGTTACAGTGAATTGAGGTGAGGAAACAGTCTTCTGATCTTAGTGACGTGTTACAGTGAATGAGGTAAGGAAACAGCCTTCTGATCTTAGTGACGTGTTACAGTGAATCAGGTGAGGAAACTGTCTTCTGATCTTAGTGACGTGTTACAGTGAATGAGGTAAGGAAACAGCCTTCTGATCTTAGTGACGTGTTACAGTGAATGAGGTGAGGAAACAGTCTTCTGATCTTAGTGACGTGTTACAGTGAATGAGGTAAGGAAACAGCCTTCTGATCTTAGTGACGTGTTACAGTGAATGAGGTGAGGAAACAGTCTTCTGATCTTAGTGGACGTGTTACAGGAATGAGGTAAGGAAACAGCCTTCTGATCTTAGTGGAAACGTCTGTTACAGTGAATGAGGTAAGGAAACAGCCTTCTGATCTTAGTGACGTGTTACAGTGAATGAGGTGAGGAAACAGTCTTCTGATCTTAGTGACGTGTTACAGTGGAATGAGGTGAGGAAACAGCCTTCTGATCTTAGTGACGTGTTACAGTGATTGAGGTGAGGAAACAGCCTTCTGATCTTAGTGACGTGGCGTGTTACAGTGAATGAGGTAAGGAAACAGCCTTCTGATACTTAGTGACGTGTTACAGTGATTGAGGTGAGGAAACAGCCTTCTGATCTTGAAGGAAACAGCCTTCTGATCTTAGTGGCGAAACAGTCTTCTGTTACAGGTGAATGAGGTAAGGAAACAGCCTTCTGATCTTAGTGACGTGTTACAGTGAATGAGGTGAGGAAACAGCCTTCTGATCTTAGTGACGTGTTACAGTGAATGAGGTTAAGTGATGAGGTAAGGAAACAGCCTTCTGATCTTAGTGACGTGTTACAGTGAATCAGGTGAGGAGGAAACTGTCTTCGGCGTGTTACAGTGAATGAGGTAAGGAAACAGCCTTCTGATCTTAGTGACGTGTTACAGTGAATGAGGTAAGGAAACAGTCTTCTGATCTTAGTGACGTGTTACAGTGAATGAGGTAAGGAAACAGCCTTCTGATCTTAGTGACGTGTTACAGTGAATGAGGTGAGGAAACAGTCTTCTGATCTTAGTGACGTGTTACAGTGAATGAGGTAAGGAAACAGCCTTCTGATCTTAGTGACGTGTTACAGTGAATGAGGTAAGGAAACAGCCTTCTGATCTTAGTGACGTGTTACAGGAATGAGGTAAGGAAACAGCCTTCTGATCTTAGTGACGTGTTACAGTGAATGAGGTAAGGAAACAGCCTTCTGATGTTTTTAACATGTTTCAGTGAACCTGTTAGGAAGAAACACTTGTCTTATTGATCAGGGGGACGAAACAAATATCTTAGTGATACTTGACAAGTAATCGACATTACATTTTGAGATTTTAGCACTGAATATTTTGTTCTAATATATTTGTATTTTGTAAAGTTTGTTTATCAATTATTAAGTTTGCTACCATTGGAAATACTTTGGGTAAAGAAAGCAATGGAAATACAGAATATTCTGCTGTCACTACCTCACATACATCGAAATGTATGCTTGTTTTCCAGATCTAGATCATTCTACAGTTGAGGCCCGTCTTTCACCTCAGACACATCATGGACGACAGATTTTTGAGGTGTCTCTGCTGAAAGACGAAAATCATGGGATAGGCATCACCATCGTGGGTGGGGAGAGCACCAGCAAACTAGACTTGGGGATCTTTGTGAAATCTGTGACAGCTGGAGGTCCCGCAAACAAGGATGGCAGCATCAGGCCAGGCGACCGTCTAGTTGCCATCAACGGTCAGAGTCTGGAGGGTGTCCAGCATCACGAGGCCGTGCAGATGATTCGAGAGTCGGATGATCTGGTTTCCTTACTTGTGTCACAGGTCAGGGCACCCATGACTCTTCGACGAAAGGTTGTGTCTGTTGAGGCCTTGACACCAGCCTGCTCTACAGTGCACTCTCTGCCCACAAGTGGTGATGTTGGTAGGACAGATCCATTTGTAGACCAAGCAGTTTGTCATTCCATGGATAGAGATCTTAGAAATATTCCACCTGTAAAACCTCCACGACGGATGAACAGTGATAACCAGTTGACAAGTGACACGCATGCTACTGCTGGGACAGCCTGGGACACTGTTACGTTGCAAGACGAGCCTGTGTCAGGTATGAGTGAGACCACTGCTGCTGAATTAGCAGAGAGCATTCTGGGTACTGATAGGGAGGAGTGCATTCTGGGTACTGATGGGGAGGAGTGTGGTGTTTTGATGATGGACAGTAATCAGTGGGCAGTCAGCAAGGAAGAAGAGCTGGAAGTACTTGGAGGTAAGCAGCTTGTTGGGATGCCAGGGCCTGAGTTCATCAACTCTTACTGTTGACAGCCGAGACTGTTTATAGCCATGTTAAAGTAGGACTTTGTGATGTGTGTTGAGACTGTTTATAGCCATGTTAAAGTAGGACTTTGTGATGTGTGTAGTGACTGTTTATAGCCGTGTTAAAGTAGGACTTTGTGATGTGTGTAGTGACTGTTTATAGCCATGTTAAAGTAGGACTTTGTGATGTGTGTTCTGGCTGTTTATAGCCATGTTAAAGTAGGACTTTGCGATGTATGTTGTGGTGACTGTTTATACCCGTGTTAAAGTAGGACTTTGTGATGTGTGTTGTGACTGTTGAAGCTGTGTTAAGGTAGGGCTATGTGACGTGTGTTGTGACCGTTGAAGCCATGTTAGAGTAGGACTTTGTGATGTGTGTAGTGACTGTTTATAGCCATGTTAAAGTAGGACTTTGTGATGTGTGTAGTGACTGTTTATAGCCATGTTAAAGAAGGACTTTGTGATGTGTATTGTGACTGTCTATAGCCGTGTTAAAGTAGGACCTTGTAATGTGTCTAGTGACTGTTTATAGCCATGTTAAAGTGGGACTTTGTGATGTGTGTAGTGACTGTTTATAGCCGTGTTAAAGTAGGACTTTGTGATGTGTGTAGTGACTGTTTATAGCCATGTTAAAGTAGGACTTTGTGATGTGTGTAGTGACTGTTTATAGCCGTGTTAAAGTAGGACTTTGTGATGTGTGTAGTGACTGTTTATAGCCATGTTAAATTAGGACTTTGTGATGTGTGTAGTGACTGTTTATAGCCATGTTAAAGTAGGACTTTGTGATGTTTGTAGTGACTGTTTATAGCCATGTTAAAGTAGGACTTTGTGATGTGTGTTGTGACTGTTGAAAGCTGTGTTACAGCTGGACCTTGTTATGTCTGTTGTGGTGACTGTTATGCTGTGTTATAGTAGGACCTTGTTATGTCTGTTGTGGTGACTTATGCTGTGTTATAGTAGGACCTTGTTATGTCTGTTGTGGTGACTTATGCTGTGTTAAAGTAGGACTTTGTGATGTGTGTAGTGACTGTTTATAGCCGTGTTAAGGTAGGACTATGTGACGTTTTGTGGTGACTGTTTATAGCCATGTTAAAGTAGGACTTTGTGATGTGTGTAGTGACTGTTTATAGCCGTGTTAAAGTAGGACTTTGTGATGTGTGTAGTGACTGTTTATAGCAGTGTTAAAGTAGGACTTTGTGATGTGTGTAGTGACTGTTTATAGCCATGTTAAAGTAGGACTTTGTGATGTGTGTAGTGACTGTTTATAGCCATGTTAAAGTAGGACTTTGTGATGTGTGTAGTGACTGTTGAAAGCTGTGTTACAGCTGGACCTTGTTATGTCTGTTGTGGTGACTGTTATGCTGTGTTATAGTAGGACCTTGTTATGTCTGTTGTGGTGACTTATGCTGTGTTATAGTAGGACCTTGTTATGTCTGTTGTGGTGACTTATGCTGTGTTATAGTAGGACCTTGTGATGTCTGTTGTGGTGACTGTTATGCTGTGTTATAGTAGGACCTTGTTATGTCTGTTGTGGTGACTTATGCTGTGTTATAGTAGGACCTTGTTATGTCTGTTGTGGTGACTTATGCTGTGTTATAGTAGGACCTTGTTATGTCTGTTGTGGTGACTGTTATGCTGTGTTATAGTAGGACCTTGTTATGTCTGTTGTGGTGACTTATGCTGTGTTATAGTAGGACCTTGTTATGTCTGTTGTGGTGACTGTTATGCTGTGTTATAGTAGGACCTTGTTATGTCTGTTGTGGTGACTTATGCTGTGTTACAGTAGGACCTTGTTATGTCTGTTGTGGTGACTGTTATGCTGTGTTATAGTAGGACCTTGTTATGTCTGTTGTGGTGACTTATGCTGTGTTATAGTAGGACCTTGTTATGTCTGTTGTGATGACTGTTATGCTGTGTTATAGTAGGACCTTGTTATGTCTGTTGTGGTGACTTATGCTGTGTTATAGTAGGACCTTGTTATGTCTGTTGTGGTGACTGTTATGCTGTGTTATAGTAGGACCTTGTTATGTCTGTTGTGGTGACTTATGCTGTGTTAAAGTAGGACTTTGTGATGTGTGTAGTGACTGTTTATAGCCATGTTAAAGTAGGACTTTGTGATGTGTGTAGTGACTGTTTATAGCCATGTTAAAGTAGGACTTTGTGATGTGTGTTGTGACTGTTTATAGCCATGTTAAAGTAGGACTTTGTGATGTGTGTAGTGACTGTTTATAGCCTGTGTTAAAGTAGGACTTTGTGATGTGTGTAGTGACTGTTTATAGCCATGTTAAAGTAGGACCTTGTTATGTCTGTTGTGGTGACTTATGCTGTGTTATAGCTGGACCTTGTTATGTCTGTTGTGGTGACTTATGCTGTGTTATAGTAGGACCTTGTTATGTCTGTTGTGGTGACTTATGCTGTGTTATAGTAGGACCTTGTTATGTCTGTTGTGGTGACTTATGCTGTGTTATAGTAGGACTTTGTGATGTGTGTTGTGACTGTTTATAGCCATGTTAAAGTAGGACTTATGTCTGTTGTGGTGACTTATGCTGTGTTATAGTAGGACCTTGTTATGTCTGTTGTGGTGACTGTTATGCTGTGTTATAGTAGGACCTTGTTATGTCTGTTGTGGTGACTGTTATGCTGTGTTATAGTAGGGTCTTGTTGATTACTATGTGGCTATTTCTCTTCATAATTATACGACGACAGGTTAAAGAAATTTCTCCTTTTGTATGATAGTATCAGAATTATACTGTAGGGTTTGACGAAATGACGACCTGACATGGTATATATTTTTTGTACCATTCTTGTAGAAATACAGTTAAAGATTGTTTCATCACAATGTATTATTATCATTATGTTTTATAGATTACAGATAGTATGCAGCAGAGAGGGTTCGGGTATCCTGGCACAGTCAGGCTATTAAGGTTCATCATCAGCTCAGGGCCCTTGCCCCCTCTACACGCAGCCCAGACAGCAAATGGGACATCTCCCAGGAAACGCTGCCTAGTCAAACCCACCAAGAACCTTCTGGAGAATATGTAGACTCCCCAACACTGCAACCTTCTGCATTACCCAGACAGTTAGAAGAGCAGTGCTCCCAGTGGAGAACCTGGCCACTCTCCTCATCTAAAAGCAACAAGCCATGCCATCATGTCGTTTAAGATATGCTGTTTGTGCCAAAGAAGAGCATCCACTGACAAGGTGTTGGACAGTCTCTGTAAATTCATTGCACATTCGACATTTCATGCAAATATTTTCTTTTGGAATCACATTTAAGCAATTGCAAGTGGGAAGTGACTGGTCTTGAGCAGCAAAAAGAAAGCCATCAGTTTCACATTTAAGACCAGCCGACTTCATCCAGGCGAAGGAGTCTGTTGGATTACTGTTCTTTTCAACACATTGCATGTACACACGATGCAGTGGTTTCTCAGAAAGCTTCTCCACAAATGACAGCTGAAATACTTCACATGGTTTACTCCCATCGCTGTACCGTCCAGCAGTACATTGCCATCAAGAAAATCAACCTCAAGTTTTACATTCTGTCCAACAACCTTGGAACGCTTAAAATAGCTGTGGAATTCCTTGCTTTCATCTGATAAATGAATATGTGCAAAAGTACACAAAAGAATTCTATCATGAAGACCCTCCACATTAATCAAACCCCGACCTCCAGAATTGATTGGCATGTATAAACGATTAAGGGAGGATCGAGGGTGGTGGGCTCTGTTATCAGACATAATCCTTCTGGTCAGGCGGTCAAGACTCTGGATGTCTTGTTTTGTCCAATCAACTACTCCAAAGGAATAGAGGACTGGCACAGCAAAAGTATTGGTGGCTTTGACCTTGTTTCGAGCATTTAGCTCTGAACTCCAGATTTTCTTTAAGCAAGCTTTATACTCGGCCCAAAGTTTGTCTTGAATCTGGGCATTCTGGAATAGATTCCAAAGTCTGCACCAGCAACTCATTAAAGACTTGAGTAAATCAAGTAGTCGCTCAGGGAGGTCAATACAACGAAGAGACTTCAGAATCAATTCATTAAGGACAAAGTCGTATGTCTTTTTGTGGTCAATCCAGCGGTTGCGGTGATATGTTTTAGCCTCTTGCAAAATCATTTTCTGTACAAGAAGTTGATCCTTGCACCCCCAACATCCCTTTCTTGCCCCCTTCTGCTCTCTATGAATTATGTCATTGGAAGAACAGTAGGATGACACAAGGTTTGCCAAACTCCCTGGGAAGATTTTATATTTTGTATTCAAACATGTGATAGGGCGGAAGTTTTGGGGATCAGTCCAGTCTCCCCTTTTTGGGAAAGAGTATTGTGCGACCTTTGCAGAACCGTGGAGGAACATCACCTGTGTGCACAAGAGAGTTGAAACAGTGAAGTAATGGTGTTTGGACACAGGGGAACAGTTTCCAATACCGGATTCAAATGCCATCAGGCCCTGGAGCTGTATTAAAAGTGAACATTTTGATAACTCTTTTCTCATGCATTGCATGATCGTAATCATGGGAGGCCGCTTATCATGTTCACTAACACCCATTGTTTTGAGTTGCTTGTAGCAGAAAACAGGAAATATCTTGCTGAATTCAAAATAGTGAAGTGTATTATTGTGCGCAATAAATTTTGATTTTTATTCAACTTCAAAGTGAGGGTTGAAGAGAAGGAACATATATATCCTTCTGGCATCCAGGGGGTACAACAATGAGGCTGCGGTATCATATTAACACTATGACTGTTTACAAATGATATTAGGATTGTGGTAGCACTGTTTGGAATTTAGGAGAAAGGAGAATGTTGCACTTTCAACCTTTGTCTTAACAGTCATAATCCAATAACTGTTGTAGGCCATCATGAAAGTCTCCAGTCTGTTATTGTCCTTTATGTTCTGTGTAACCATCTATTTCCTGAGTATATTGACACTGAAATACTTCAACATTTTACTTCCAGACATTGCAGATCTTGCAATAATTGATGATTCTTCCTCGGATTCGGACTTTGACACTGCCCTGGAGAATGCTGTGAAAGGCCGCCTCACACGGAAACCCTCTCAGAATGCCTCTAATGTCCCGATCAGGCTGCAGAAACACAACGGCCAGTCAGGGATTACCATCACAGTAAGCATAACAGATTGTTACAGTGAGTACACCATCACACACTGACACTGAGTACACCATCACACACTGTCAGTGAGTACACCATCACACACTGACATTGAGTACACCATCACACACTGACACTGAGTACACCATCACACACTGTCAGTGGATACACCATCACACTCTCTCAGTGACTACACCATCACACACTGTCATTGACTACACCATCACACACTGTCATTGACTACACCATCACACACTGTCAGTGGATACACCATCACTCTCTGTCAGTGATTACACCATCACACACTGTCAGTGGTTACACCATCACTCTCTGTCAGTGGATACACCATCACACACTGTCAGTGGTTACATGTCAGTGGATACACCATCACACACTGTCAGTGGTTACACCATCACTCTCTGTCAGTGGATACACCATCACACACTGTCAGTGGTTACACCATCACACACTGTCAGTGGTTACACCATCACACACTGTCAGTGGTTACACCATCACACACTGTCAGTGGTTACACCATCACACACTGTCAGTGGTTACACCATCACACACTGTCAGTGATTACACCATCACACAGTGTCAGTGAGTACACCATCACACGCTGTCAGTGGATACACCATCACACACTGTCAGTGGATACACCATCACACAGTCAGTGAGTCCACCATCACACTCTGCCAGTGGATACACCATAACACACTGTCAGTGAGTATACAATCACACACTGTCAGTGAGTACACCATCACACAGTGTCAGTGAGTACACCATCACACACTGTCAGTGACTACACCATCACACACTGTCAGTGGATACAGCATCACACACTGTCAGTGACTACACTATCACACACTGTCAGTGGATACACCATCACACACTGTCAGTGACTTTACCATCACACACTGTCGGTGGATACACCATCACACACTGTCAGTGACTACACCGTCACACACTGTCAATGGGTACACCATCACACACTGTCAGTGACTACACCATCACACACTGTCAGTGACTACACCATCACTCTCTGTCAGTGACTACACCATCACACACTGTCAGTGGATACACCATCACACACTGTCAGTGGATACACCATCACACACTGTCGGTGAGTACACCATCATACAGTGTCAGTGGATACACCATCACACACTGTCGGTGAGTACACCATCATACAGTGTCAGTGGGTACACCATCGGAAACTATCAGTGGGTACACCATCACACACTGTCAGAGAGTACACCATCACACACCATCAGTGGGTACACCATCACACACTGTCAGTGAGTACACCATCACTCTCTGTCAGTGACTACACCATCACACACCAGCAGTGGGTACACCATCGGAAACTATCAGTGGGTACACCATCACACACTGTAAGAGAGTACACCATCACACACCATCAGTGGGTACACCATCACACACTGTCAGTGAGTACACCATCACTCTCTGTCAGTGACTACACCATCACACACCAGCAGTGGGTACACCATCACACACTGTCAGTGAGTACACCATCACACACCGTCAGTGAGTACACCATCACTCTCTGTCAGTGACTACACCATCACACACCAGCAGTGGGTACACCATCACACACTGTCAGTGAGTACACCATCACACACCGTCAGTGGGTACACCATCATCCACTGTCAGTGAGTACACCATCACATTCTGTCAGTGAGTACACACCGTCAGTGAGTACACCATCACACACTGTCAGTGAGTTCACCATCACACACCGTCAGTGAGTACACCATCACACACCGTCAGTGAGTACACCATCACACACCGTCAGTGGGTACACCATCACACACCATCAGTGAGTAACACATCACACACTGTCAGTGGGTACACCGTCACGGACTGTCAGTGAGTACACCATCACACACTGTCTCTGAGTACACCATCACACACCGTCAGTATCTGCTGTTGTAGGGAGGCAGTGATTACTATCTGCTGTTTTAGGTTGCCAATGATTACTATCTGCTGTTGTAGGGAGGCAGTGACTCCAGGTTCAAAGATGGTGCAGTCTACGTCATCTCAGTTAGTTCTTCAGACAAACAAACAAACTCTGTTGTTGTAGGTGAGTATAAGATAACATGGATATATACCTTGATACTGTGCCGCAGCCGCTCTGGATATGGCTTGATATTCTGCTGCAGCTGTTGTAATATAGCTTGACACTGTGGTGTGGCTGTTCTACTATAGCTTGACACTGTGGTGCGGCTGTTGTACTATAGCTCAACACTGTGATGCGGCTGTTGTACTATAGCTCAACACTGTGGTGTGGCTGTTGTAAAATAGCTCGACGCTGTGGTGTGGCTGTTGTAATATAGCTCGACACTGTGGCGCGGCTGTTGTAATATAGCTTGACACTGTGGTGCGGCTGTTGTACTATAGCTCAACACTGTGATGCGGCTGTTGTAATATAGCTCAACACTGTGGTGCGACTGTTGTAAAATAGCTCGACGCTGTGGTGTGGCTGTTGTAATATAGCTCGACACTGTGGGGCGGCTGTTGTAATATAGCTTCGACACTGTGGCCGCGGCTGTTGTAATATAGCTTGACACTGTGGTGCGGCTGTTGTAATATAGCTCAACACTGTGGTGTGGCTGTTGTAATATAGCTTGACACTGTGGTGTTGCTGTTGTAAAATAGCTCGACGCTGTGGTGTCGCTGTTGTAATATAGCTTGACACTGTGGTGCGGCTGTTGTAATATAGCTGGACACTGTGGTGCGGCTGTTGTAATATAGCTCAACACTGTGGTGTGGCTGTTGTAATATAGCTCAACACTGTGGTGTGGCTGTTGTAATATAGCTCGACACTGTGGTGCGGCTGTTGTAATATAGCTTGACACTGTGGTGCGGCTGTTGTAATATAGCTCAACACTGTGGTGTGGCTGTTGTAATATAGCTCGACACTGTGGTGTGGCTGTTGTAAAATAGCTCGACGCTGTGGTGTGGCTGTTGTAATATAGCTCAACACTGTGGTGTGGCTGTTGTAAAATAGCTCAACACTGTGGTGCGGCTGTTGTAATATAGCTCGACACTGTGGTGTGGCTGTTGTAATATAGCTCGACACTGTGGTGTGGCTGTTGTAATATAGCTTGACACTCTAGTGCGGCTGTTGTAATATAGCTCAACACTGTGGTGCGGCTGTTGTAATATAGCTTGACACTGTGGTGCGGCTGTTGTAATATAGCTCAACACTGTGGTGCGGCTGTTGTAATATAGCTTGACACTGTGGTGCGGCTGTTGTAATATAGCTTGACACTGTGGTGCTGCTGTTGTAATATAGCTCAACACTGTGGTGTGGCTGTTGTAATATAGCTTGACACTGTGGTGAGGCTATTGTAATATTGCTCAACACTGTGGTGCGGCTGTTGTAATATAGCTCGACACTGTGGTGCGGCTGTTGTAATATAGCTCAACACTGTGGTGTGGCTGTTGTAATATAGCTCAACACTGTGGTGTGGCTGTTGTAATATAGCTCAATGCTGTGGTGCGGCTGTTGTAATATAGCTCAACACTGTGGTGCAGCTGTTGTAATAGAGCTCAACACTGTGGTGTGGCTGTTGTAATATATCTCAATACTGTGGTGTGGCTGTTGTAATATATCTTGACACTGTAGTGTGGCTGTTGTAATATAGCTTGACATTGTGGTGTCGCTCTTGTACTATAGCTCAACACTGTGGTGCGGCTGTTGTACTATAGCTCGACACTGTGGTGCGGCTGTTGTACTATAGCAAAACACTGTGGTGCAGCTGTTGTACTATAGCTCAACTCTGTGGTGCGGCTGTTGTAATATAGCTCAACACTGTGCTGCGACTGTTGTACATATGGCTCCACACTGGTGTGGCTGTTATAAATATGGCTCCACACTGGTATGGCTGTTGTACATATGGCTCTACACTGTGGTGTGGCTGTTGTAGGTATGGCTTGATGCTGTGGTGTAGCTGTTGTAGGTATGGCTTGATGCTGTGGTGTAGCTGTTGTAGGTATGGCTTGATGCTGTGGTGTGGCTGTTGTAGGTATGACTTGACACTGTGGTTTGCCTGTTGTAAATATGGCTTCTTTAATCATCCAGGAGACCAACTGTTAGAGATCAATGATGTCAGTGTCCATGGACAGACATATGGACAGGTATTGGAACTTCTACATCGAGCCCCCTCTGTGTGTCCACTGCTGGTCCGGCGAATAGCTCCATCTCTTGCAGGGAGTCTCCCAGAGGTGACACCAGCCATGGCCCACCTTCCAGCTGACATCTCCACAGATCCATATTCATTTGTTACCCGGGGTATGTACTTCCTGCACTAACAGGAACTAACCATGATGTTGCTACAGTCAGTGTAAATACGATCAAATACGATCCTTTCTTAGTAAAGTACAAATTCTAGTACTTTTGTTGGGTTGAGTCCCATCCGGGATTGAACTCACACCCTCAGAGTCAGGCATCTAATCGCCTGCACACAAAGTCAGTCGCACACAAAGTCAGTGGATCTGGATCACTCCATATCTGTTACCTGACACACGGTCTGTGTACATCAGCCCAGAAACCGAAAGGAGATATGCAGGTGGACAACTCCCATCTGGATCACTCCGTATCTGTTACCTGACACACGGTCTGTGTACATCAGCCCAGAAACAGACAGGAGATATTCAGTTAACATCTAATGGAGGGGGGTTATTGGTGCAATAAAGAAAACTTGGTATCCAAATATGGTAACTATGCAAATAAGGCCAATACAGGAACTACTTTCACAAAACTCCATACACGCCATGCGAATTCTAAAATGTTAACATTTTATTGATGAAGTCGTCCCGAGTTTACAGGGTTTTTCCATTGAGTTGGAAGGCTTGCATAATGCAATTTTTTTTCCTAATATGTGATATTAATGATATGGAAACACATGAGGTGAGTAAGCTCTCTGTGGACAACCTGACACACTGCCTGTGTACATCAGCCCAGGAACAGGGGCGGTGTGGTAGCCTTGTGATTAAAGCACTCGCTTGTCACGCCGAAGACACGGGTTCAATTTGCCACATGGGTACAATGTGTGAAGCCCATTTCTGGTGTCCTCTGCCATGATATTGCTGGAATGTTGCTAAAAGCAGCGTTAATCTAAATTCACTCACTCATTGACTCACTCAGCCGAGAAACAGAAACACCAGCACACAAAGTCAGATATCTTACAGAGCTGGCAATTAGGTTCCTGTATCTGAGGGTGTGGGTTCAAATCCCTGATGTGACTCACCCCAACAAAAGTACTTAAGTACTGTCAGAAATAGAAAAAAACTGGGTGTTTTTCACATTTATATCTACAATTTATGTAGTTAATATGTGAAAGCATGAAATATCTGTTACACTACTTTTGAGCTACCTAAAGTCTCAGTGGTAGAAGATAGGAAACGTAAAAGAGGACTTTACTGAGGAGAGATTAGTGCACAAATGTGCAATGGGTTTTTTAAAGACTTGTTTGGAACAGACCTTGGCTTTATGCAAATTAGAGTGTGATGATGTATTACAAAGGACACTTTTTAAATGCCCAGTTTGAAATTAGACATACCTTCATCATAAATGATACCTGGCGTAAAAAATAATAACTTTCATACTGAAACTATTAAGGATGTAGCTACTACGGAGTCTCACTATCACTATATAAACTGGTGGTCATTCAAGTATACTAGGCACATAAAGAAACTATGCATACAAAAATTTAAAATCTAAATTTATCAAACCTGTGTAGACACATAAGGATTTAAACTCAGAGATTAGTGATATATATCCAACATGCATGCACGTGACACGTTCCGTGACATCAGTGGGTTTGTCCTTGAGACGTGCAATACGTTGTTGCACGTGCATTCTGGGAAAGAGAAACAGAGAAAATGAATGCCACACAATACTGTCACTTTGGAATGCTCAACCCCTGCCCTTGCGATCGTTCAAAAAATTAAACGGCTATTGAAACGCATAGCATGCCAAGGCTCATGTCTGCACAACGTCATGAGGCCATTGGATGGTCCGTGGGGGAATGTCTCAAAGACATGTGGCTGCACATTTCCACTGCCACCGGAACACCATTTCTGCACTGGTGAGACGCTACCAGAACACAAATGACGTCATCGATCGGCCACATTCTGGACGTCCAAGAGTAACAACGCCAAGACAGGACAGATGGATAAGGGTGACCCATCTTTAGCCACAGGTTTCAGACTGCAGTGATTACTGCCCGAACCATCCCAGGACTTCGCCGTATCCACCCAACACAGTTCGACAATGTTTACGTCATCACGGGATCAGACCATGACGTCCTGCCATACGGCCTATCCTGACACAACGTCATCGACAAGCTCGCCAAATGTGGTGCCGATATCATGTCCACAGACCCTTGTTTTGGTGGAGAAATGTTGTTTTTACAGATGAGTCCAGTTTTAACATTTCCCATAGTGATGGATGTCAACGTGCCTATAGACATGTGGGAGAACGTTATGCACAGGCGTGTGTCTTGGAGAGGAATCGCTTTGTTGGTGTTTCCGTGATGATTTGGGGTGGAATAACAGCACACCAAAGAACTCCTTTGGTGATTGTTCAGGGCAACTTAACTGGTGTTGGCTACAGGGATCAGATTCTTCGACAATTCCTAGTCTGCAACGTCATGGCCCTGGGTTAACATTCCAACAGGACAATGCCCGCCCTCATACGGCAAGGGTTGCTATGGATTTCTTGCAACACCACAACGTTGACTTACTGCCTTGGCCTGCAAATTCACCGGATCTCTCCCCGATAGAGCATGTTTGGGACAAGATGGATCGACGTCTACACAGTCTTCCTCATTCGCCAGATAACGTCCTTGACCTTGCAACAGAACTTAAGAGATCTGGCGTGACATCCCACAAGCCTTCCTTGCACATTTGATAGGCTCTATCAGCCGTCGATGCTCTGCTGTTCTCAATGCCTATTGTGGACATACCCGTTATTTAACTTGTGACATGGTCGTTGACCCCTGTCCCGCTTGTGGACTCGTGGACTCGTGACGCCATTGTGATTGACTTTTCAATTGAAATTCTCCCGACTTGTTATGGTCTCATGATCCCTCCATTAAAGTTTATATGTACCTTTGACATTGTTATCGTACTTATCAACTGGGATAATATTTTGACAATGCACAGTTTCTTTATGTGGCTTATATATATATTTTGAGACATTTAATACAATGGCTGATTTAAGCTTTTCTATGGGTATCATACTCTTTTACATATTTCAACATAAACTTTATGAAAGAAAGACATGTTAGACGTTAATCAATAGATGAGACATATTCAGCGCACAAGAAAAAGCATACAATATCTTTGAGATGACCCCTTGTGCCTGTAGGCAGGACATGCATTTCATGCCAGGTGACTTGACAGTCCATCGTCAAACCTGGCTGAGCGACCTAATTGCCAACTATAGCCTCATCTGTTGTTTTCAGGAGCTATTCGTATTTTTTCTAAGTTTTAATAATAAATAATAATAATGTAGGTATTTATTTAGGTACTAATACCCGCTCATGGCGCGCTACAATACTATAGGAGAAAAGAAAATAGGTAAAACTATTTACAGAGAGACAATTGAACATAGAAAGTCTAGTAATAGGCAAGACAAAAAAGGTGGGTTTTTAGAGACGATTTAAATGTTTCCAAAGATTCAGCATTCTTGATGTGCGTGGGCAAGTTGTTCCAGAGACTGGCGGCTGTGTGTTGGAATGATCTTTTCCCATAGGATGAGAGTCGAACTTTAGGTATGACAAGTAGCTGGTGATTCTGGGATCGTAACGGTCGGGTTGGGATGTACTGACACAGAAGACTGGAGAGGTATTCTGGTGTTTGTCCATGTAGAGCTTTGAAAGTGCTACATAGAATTTTGAAGTCAATCCGGAACCTGACAGGCAACCAGTGTAGAGACATCAGTGAGGGTGTGATATGATCTTTCTTGGACTTGAGGCAGACAATGTGAGCTGCTGAGTTCTGTAATTGTTTAAGTTTCTGAAGTTGAGTTGAACTGATGCTAAAGTGCAGACTGTTGCAATAGTTGAGTCGAGAGAGAATAATGGATCGAACCAAAGAATGAGCACATTCTGTTGTGATGAGATTTCTAAAGGAGATGATGGTTCACAGATAATAGTGACCGTTATTATAAAGATGGTTGACTTGCGATTCCAAAGACAAACTGGCATCAAGATATACACCAAGATCCTTAGTGACAGGGGAAGGCTGAATGTTAGATGTTGAAATCTTCACATTGCAGATGGAGATTTTCTGCAGCTGTTTGGAATTTCCAATCAGTTGGAGTTTCCTTATGCTCATCCATGTCTTTATATCAGAAACGCAACTGTCTATGATCTGTAGATCAGTGACTGGAGATTGCAGATTAAGAATCCTTTTAACCTGATTGTCATCAGCATAGGCATAGTGCCCACAGTCATGAGAGTCGATAACCACGGGAAGAGAGTTTACCTATAGCAAGAAGAGAATAGGGCCAAGGACCGAGCCCTGGGGCACGCCACATGTAAACTCTACTTTGTCAGATGTATGATTCTGAACTTCTACAACCTGTGTTCGCTGGTCCAAATATGAGGAGAACCAGCTGAGTGCTATTCCTTTGACACCAACTTCATGTTCCAATGTGTGTAACAGGCACTTGTGGTCAACTTTGTCAAACGCAGCACTTAGGTTGAGTAGGACTAATGCCGCCATATTGCCACTGTCCAGAATCATTCTGAGATCATTCACTAAACGAAAGAGAATGGTCTCAGTAAAGTGGAATGGCCTGTAAGCAGACTGGAATGGGTCATGGATACTGTTGGATGAAATGTGATCCATTAATCTCTTAGACACTGCTTGCTCTGTGACTTGAGACAAGACACTGACTTGAGACTCGCTCTATGACTTGAGACAAGACACTGCTCGCTCTGTGACTTGAGACAAGACACTGCTCGCTCTATGACTTGAGACAAGACACTGCTCGCTCTATGACTTGAGACAAGACACTGCTCGCTGTGTGACTTGAGACAAGGCACTGCTCGCTCTATGACTTGAGACAAGACACTGCTTGCTCTGTGACTTGAGACAAGACACTGCTCGCTGTGTGACTTGAGACAAGACACTGCTCGCTGTGTGACTTGAGACAAGACACTGCTCGCTCTGTGACTTGATGCAAGACACTGCTCGCTCTGTGACTTGAGACAAGACACTGCTAGCTCTGTGACTTGAGACAAGACACTGCTCGCTCTGTGACTTGAGACAAGACACTGC